TTCCATCCCCCAAGAATCACATAGTGGAAGAAAAGTACAAATTTCTGCAAACTATCTTCTCATGTCCATACATGCACTGTGGCACATGTGTGCCAACACACACACACACACACACACACACACACATACATGTAAATAAATGTAATTTGTTTAAAAGAACTTTGGCTTATTGGCATATGCCTATAATTCCAGCAGTCAGATGGGAAGCTAAAACAGGAGGATCATGAGCTCAAATCTAGTCTGGACTATTCTGGGAGACCCTGTCTCATAAACAAGAGGACCCAAGTTTTTTGAGGTCCGTAGAAAGAAAAGAAAGAGTCACGCAGCAATGACAACACCTCTAAATACGCTAAAATTTAAATTTTTCCCTTAAGTCCTTGTCTAGAGTAAAGATTTTTAGGTCTTTATCTGTCCAAAATCTATCCAAACAGATGTTCTGTGAAGATGTCCTTATAATTGCTTGCCAGCGAGAAAAACCCTTCACAGAATTATCAGGAGAGATGGATAGGAGATAAAAGAGAAAAAAGGTCTCGGGGAGACAGCAGGGCAGCAGAAGGAAGGAACTGCTTCCCCTAGGTGGATGGAGACATTAGTGATGTTCCACCCTCATCTAGGGAAGGAGAGGCACCACTGTGTTATAGACAGAAGTGGGGTGTTCCAAAGACATGTAACTTGATCCCTTGCTACCCTCACAGCTGCCCAAGGATCAACAGCCTAACCTTTTCAAAGTCTCAGGAAAAAGGAGGATCTGAGATACAATCCTCTACGTAAACTTACATTTTCCCTTGTACAACTGCTAAGATGAGAAGACATAGGACTTTGGGAGGGGGGGCTGTTCCAAAGGGGCAAAAATTGATGAGGAAGGAAGGACATCATTGCAACTTGACCCCTTTACCTGACTCAATTGGTCCACTGTCCTAGAATGGGGCAATGAGGGTGGGCATGAGGGAGTCTCAAGTAGGCAGAGGCCCCAGATTCTGTTCAGACTCCAGGATGGTAGAGCCCCAGGTGCATCCCTGTCCTTAGCCCCGCGGCCACAAAAGAGTGACTGTCATGAGTTCTGCTTGTGCCCCAGTAGCTGATGCTTGGATCCCTGCTGCCGAGCTTAGCTTTTCTAGCCCCCACCCCTTTCACAGGTGAGAAGGCCAAGGCCAGCGGCAGACCTCAGAGCAATTCCAGATTTAGAGCCATGCCTCGGGAGACAGCAATTCTAAGGAGTGGGGAGGGTGGGTGCAGCCTGGAGGCGGGGTCATTTAAAGCCCTGCCTATTGGTTCCTCTCCCCTTCCCTTGTCTTGGAGGATGTGCTTTCATGGCCCAGGGCATAATCGACTCTGGAGCTGGGACATTAAAGTAGGCTATAAGGTATCTTTGGGGAAGACAACAGTTGAAATTTTTAGGTAGAGAAAACAGCACTCTGCTGATTTGAAGGAGAAAATATAGAAGAGAAAAAGCTCTCCACGAAGTAGGTCTGGGATTGGGATTGCTATACATCTTGACATTGACTTTGCAGCCAATAATAGAATGGAGTATGTTAGACCCCGAAGAGAGCAGGGACCGGTGACACATGACTGGTGTGTACGGAGGGCTCTCTTGGAGTGTGCCCTCTCCCAGGGTGACCCTACACAGAAAAGGGCTGCAAGGCAGACATGGCTCAAAGCACAAGGCTGGGACTTGTCACGGGTAAGCAAGGCATCGTGCTGTGCCCAGGGCCTCAGTTTCCTCACTGATCCAAATCGCATTTTATGGGGCTGTGAACATGATGTAAATTACAGCGTCTACGGGTCTCACATGACATGGGTATTATTCCAAACTGGCACACATTAACTCTCTTAATCCACACACAGCATGGGTAAACCCTACCATAGACCCCATTTAACGGATCTAAGGTTCCCGTTACCTCCTGGGAGGAAGAATCTTGTGCACTGACTTTCACAGGGGTTGCTGCTTAGATTTTCTTCTAAAGTAGAAATTCATGACAATAAGACTACATCTCACCTACAGTTGATCGGCAGCCTGTAGTAGACGCCCAAAAAGAATTTGTTGAATTAGTATAGCAATTTGAAATCCTGAAGAACCGAGAAGGAACCCAACAAGTTGATCATTTCTCTATAAGAAATCTATACTCACCAAACAGAATCATTGAGTTGGCTCATAACCAAAACGAGAAAATTTGGAAATGCCAAGTAAATGCTTCCGTTGCAAAAGCCTTGTATGTGCTGTAGTGACAGCCTCAAGGCCATGGTGAGCTTGTGTGATGGTCTTGCTGTTCTGGGTGACACAACCCTCAAGAGCGCCTTTCCTCTGAAGGACCAGCAGATATCTCAGGAGTCTCTCAGAAGCTGAAGACAGGAAGCCACCTTCAGAAGCAATGGTGCCTCAGAATCTACAAGTGCCTCAAACTACCAAGCAAAGGCTTGTAAACACCAGCCCTCTCCCTCCACCCCTTCCTCCATACCCCTCCTTTCTCCCTCCTTCCATGCCTCCTCCCCCAGTCTGCAGAATCCTATAGCACATTCTCCAAGACCCCAATATAAAAAGAAGCCACCCCACTGGTCACATGTTGAGACCAAAACCACCAAACTGAGCCGGGAGACACTACTAGTTCATGTACCCAAGGGACAGACTTCTTCACGCTGCTCTGGAAAAGGGAGACGAGAAGGCAGCCTCGGCAGCAACTCGGAATCTCAGGAGCCCAATGTCCCAGCTGCCAAAACCCAAACGCTCCAGTTCCATCTCAGTGTGAACAGCTTCCCCAAGAAAGGAACCCAACTTTGCAATCTTGGACCACACACTCCCATTTCCAAAACAGCCCATCAGCTCCCTTCCATCGGCACGACTCTTGTTAGAGTTCTTTCAGGGTAAGAATGGCCCATTAAACACATGTCCCTCCACAGCTTTGCAATAGGACAGGAAATCGAAATGACCCGTGCTCTAGCTCAGAGGAGCACTGAGCCAAAGGAGCCCCCAATTTTAAGCTCCCCTCATCCCCAACTGCTACTTAGGCTGGCGTTACTGCGTTAATGTTCAGCGGGATGTGTGCGGTGCTAGCCTCCACAGGATTTTTATTGTCTGTCTTCCTAATTCTGTCCCGCTATCGCAAAACGGAGTGCGGCATCCCTGCGAAACCATTTAGTTTTAAGCTGTGAAATTTGTTTGCTGAAGTCAGCACCACAGGCATCAAGAATTCCAATAGTGCAGGGTGTCCGAGATAAACAGTGCCGCCAGCCTGTAGCATTGGATAAGATTTATTTTGCAAACTCTGCCAACCCCCAAACAGAGATTATGCCTGGGTAGCTGCAGCTCCACTCTGTTAACGATGCCCATTTAGATTTTTTTTCTGACACTGAAGGGGCCTTACATCTTCTTCATAAATATTAACAAAAGGTTGTTGAGGAGCATAAACCCCAAAGCAGGAGGCAGCCGATGGACTGAGCCCAGCAGAAGAGCAGACTGTGATGCCCAGAGAGCGAGGCTCCTCTCTCCTTGCTGTATACTTTGTATCCATTTGCTAGAACATTTCAAGTTAGCTCTCCAGGAACCAGAGTTTTGTTTTTAATAGTAACTATTTGGTGGCAGCTGATGCCTTTCAGACCCTAAATCAGTGATGTTCCTGCTGACTGGAGATCATGGTTACAGAATACTACACAGGCCTTTACAGAAGTTTATTTAAAAACAACGAGAAATGTGATCACACATCTGTAATCATCACAGGCCTATGTTCCCTTCAGGACACTTGGATCCCATTAGCTAATATCTCCCACTAAGGCCCGCCTTTTAGAGGTCCCACCTCCTATTTATCTATCCCACTAAACCTGCCTTTTAATGGTTCCACCACCTCCCCACAGCACCAAGCCTTTGTCATGTGAGTCCTTGGAGGGAATTCTGCAGATCCAAGCTACAGCAGGCTCTGGGGTGTTAGCATGGGCTTGTCCTGCTAGATCTTATTAAAATGGGATAAGAGAAAGTCACCTAAAAACAAAACAAAACAAAAAAGAAGTCTTCTGATGTGGGATTCCCCTTTGTATGCTGTGAATATGATTTATTACCATTGGCTAGTGAATAAAGCTATTTTGGCCCATGGCAGGGCAGAATAGAGCAAGGCGGGAATTCCAAGCAGAGACAGAGGAGAGAGTAGGGGGAGTCAAAGAGATGCCATGTAACTGCCGAAGGAGACAGACACCCTGGAACCTTGCTCACAAATCACAAGTCTCGTGGTAAAACACAGACTAAAAAAATGGGTTAATTTAAGATGTAAGAGCTAGCTGGAAATATGATTAAGCTAATGATCAAGCAGTGCTTTAATTAATATAATTTCTGTGTGATTATTTCGGGTTTGGGAGCCCAGGAAACAAACACGCAGTTGCCGTCTACAGTCTACAACACGTAAGCTGATTTCACATTGAGCAGTGCTTTCTCCTTTTGAAGAAAATGAGATGATTGAAAATGAGCCCAGAGAGAGAATCAGTATCAAGGCAGACTGAAGACAAAACACTTTAAAGACACAGTCATGAGAAAGTGAGGTCGTTCTGACTCAACTGTTTGCCAGTTTCAGCTCCATGGAAGTCCCCTAGCCAAGTCACAGTCCATGTGACCTCCTCTCCTATGAACCAGCCAGCCACACCCCCGCCCTGCAGTGGCCAGCGTCACTCAGGTGAGGCCACCACGCAGAGCAGAAAGTGTAACCTTCTGAGTTTGATGATGTACATCACCGTGACCTCGGGTGAGTTGGAGATGCCACCACACAGAGCCTTCTGATCTCAGTGATGTGCCTTGCTGCAACCTCACTAGAGTAACCGGAAGTCATCGCAGAAAGGAGGAAAAGGAACAGCGCTTGGCTCTTAGCAAATGTTAGGCGACAGGTGCCATGACTTCAGTAACAATGACATGGGGGATGCGTGAGTTTTCTTTTCTACCTTTTCTTTCTGCTCTGAAAACCCAAACACTAACCTGAGAAGGGATCAGAAAGTAAGACTCATAGTGACCAGGATGTGAAACTTACTTCACAGGCAGCTCGCCTGCTGCCTTGACGTTAAATGAAAGGACAAAAAGTCCAACAACTTAAAAATTCTTCAAGGTTTCTCGCACAGTCTCCGAGGTCCTGGGATTGCAGTGCACAGATGCTGTGGCAGTGACAGGAAGCACAGTCTGTACCTGCAGCTTGGTGATCTCTGATGCAGTAGGGGCTCTTTGGAGAGCGTTAGAATTTCCACAGCAGCTGGAGTCTCCAGTCCTGGTGGCACAGGGGGAAACACTTGTCAAAGCCATATCTGGAGCCAAAATTGCCCGTGTGCAAACAATTTTTTCCCTCTATTGTTAAGTGAAAATTCCATAAGAGAAAAAAAATTTCTTGCATTGTGTCCAGGAGAAATGCATCTTTCCACTGAAAATATTGCCCTCGTGAGCTTGCCGGTCATATTTACACTGAAAATGAGTAACAAAAACATGCGGTCTCCCCCATCCCCCAGTTCTCATTTTACAGACTCATCTTCCACCTTTTATTAAGAATGGGAATACGCTGGAGGGCTATCAGCGGTAGCAGATGCCACTTTGCCTCTATGGATGACGGGGAGCCCATCAGAGAGCACCCCACATCTGAGCCACCACAGCCTTCTCCTCCATGACATGGCACTCGTTAATGCATGGCTAAGAAGGCTCTGCCGCCGAACGGTGGCACGGGCTTCTGGCTCCACACATTTGCAGGATCTGGCCCAAATAGCTGAAAGAAGGTTGCTAATTTATCCTCTGGTTCAGGTCTCAGCTGCAGCTCCCGGCTTTGATCATAGCCAAAGCCCATATCGTCCTAAACGTCATGTGTGATCCTGAGGGTCTGGATCAGGGGAGGCTGGGAGGACCAAGAGGGGACAAGGAGGACGGTGGGGCCACCTGCTCCCCTCATTAGCAGGAGATGAAATGGCACAGCTGATTGGCCCAGGGAGAAATGGGGGTGTGGTGGGGACAGGGAAAGGAGGCTAGAGGTGTTCCCAAGGGGGCTCAAACTGCACCCCACCTGCTGCCTCTCATTAGCCTTGACTATGTACCAGGCACTGGACTTGGCTCTCAGAGGTGAAGCCCAGCACCCAAGGACTTGGGGTCCAGTGGGAGGCACAGACACGGGGAGCTAGCTATTTCACATCATGTCCGGCAGACAGATGTGACGGTGAGATTGAGGAGGAGAGAAAGAACCACAGGAGCGCAGAGACAGGCTGCAGAGAGCCTGGCTCCCTTGGAAATGAACCTCTGAAGGGAAGATTGGAAGACAAAGGTATCGACAACCTTATTTTCCTTATTTGGATCCAAGTAGATTCATGTAATTTGCCCCGTCTAGAACTCCGAGGTACAGGGGAAAATGTATATCTATGCATCCCACAATAGGAGATGTTTCAAGGTGAGCAAGGACTTCAACGTCCCAAGATAGGAGGGGGCTCCTGACAGAAGCCTTGGGAGCTGGACAAGACAGCCCAGGCAGGTGCCAGGCTTTCTGCCTTTGGCAGCGAGCCTGAAGGAGGGGGGGGGGCTTGCAGCTTGCGGGCAGCACATCTGGGGCAGCATTTAGGGCTCCCTTAGGACAGATGGGTCACCTTGAGATGCAGTGCCCTCGCTCTGCAGGTGTAGCCACCTGGCAGGAAGGAAGCTCCTCATGGAGAAATACATGTGCCTTTTGCCATCAGACTACTGAAATCTTCATCCCCGCCAGAAACTGGATTTCCTTAGAAGTTTCACACTGGGGAAGGAAAGGAGTCTATGCTCAGTCCCAGCCAGAGGAGGAGCCTGTCTCTGAGAAAGAGATTCCATTCCATCCTGACAGCTCGTCACACCGCCCTGTAAGAGAGACTGAAGCGGAGGCGCTGATGGTAGGTGGAAACACGCCAAGACCAGGACTGCTCGGTGACATACACCTAACTCTTGTTCCATTTAAGCAGGAACCTCATTTGAGGACCCCAGAGATGGACCAAAGTCCGGGGGGAGTCAACTGGACTTCTTTGCTCTTCTTTTCAAAGCAGCCACATTAAATAAATCCCATCTCTGCTTCTCACTGTGACTTGACTGAGGGGAGCATTTCTTGCCGTTCTTCCTGTGAACGCCAGGGTCCGCTGAGGCCAGCGATGGCTTCCTACTTGTCCCAGAGACTCCCGCTGATGTCAGTATCTGTTAACCATGAATTAACCTGTGAAAGGATGGGCTAAGTGCCAATCGTGGAGTATAAACAATGCCCACAGCAATGGGACATCACACTGTCTCCTTCTTCCCTTTTGTTTCCACAGGGCTTCCCAGCACATGCCACCTGCTGGCTTATAAGGAGTAACTAGGCCTTGCTTTCTGGTTTCCCCTCATTTTTTCACTGGACTAACTTCGTTCTCAGGCTCATGAAGAGGCCTTTGGAAGGTTCCCTTTCATTTCAATTTCTCCTGGTGATTCAGGACCATAATTGCCACCGAACAGTCTGGTTTAGCACAGAGAAAGGCAACCAATATTCTACTAAGAGTATTTCAGTGCTGGCAGGGAGAATAGCCAAAGTAAGTTCATTTAGCGCTGAGAAGTGAAAAGAACAGGGGACACAGACACTGAACACCCCGGGCACTACCAGAGTGGTATGGAATGAGACCTTCCTGTCGGGGTCTGGGGAAATCACATCATCAAACTGCAGCAGACAACAATCTAAAGCAGCAAGCCCACAGTCACTTCACAGTGGTACAGGCACGTGACCATGAGGGTCAGTCATGTTCCAGGGCCCCTGAGAGATTGGTGGACTTGGCCTTTGCCCATCCCTCCAAAGGTCACTACATCCCAATGCCCGCATCAGAGCCGGTGACGCGTGGGAGACCCTGGGACAACTGTAGTGAAGTCCCCGGCTTCAGGAGGTCCAGGGATAATCCCTGTGCGGGAGATTTTCCCACATGGTAGACAGGCCTGGTCCATCTCAAAGGCACAGAGGGGTGCCCATGGTGCCTGAGGAGGTCTTGGGAGCCCAGAAACCAAGGAGAGAGCTGGTTAGACCGGGCATGAGGGCAAGCTAACAGGCCTTTGGAATACATCCTAACCCAGAGCGCTGCTAAACCACTCGACCCACGCTTTAGAAAAACCATGTTTAGACACTAGCACTAGCATTTTACCTTTTATCCCAGCACCTAAGAGGCAAAGACAGGCACATTTCTGCATTCAAGGCCAGTTCAAGCTACACAGTGAGACCATATTTTAAAATGAAACATACAAAAATGAAACAAAACATTTTTGGGGGGACAAACTATGAAGTTGAGAAAGTATACTTCCTACTCTAAGTTTGCAACCAAAAATCGAGAGGAAACAGAAAACGTATGAGTGTGCATACTCACGTGTATACATACATGTATAATCATGAATACACGCACACACACACACACACACACACACATTAGGGGTCTCTATTGGAACAAAACTGGTAGTATGAATAGACATACTTTACATGGAGGTTGCAGATTGACTTACACGATGTGGTCTTGGCTGTAACAGTAGCTGTCTGCATACTGGACAAGAAGCTGAGAACTCAGTAGCCGCTCGGCCCACAAACTGGATGACTCGGTTGTCCCAACCTGTGCTGAAGGCCTGGGAGATTCCTGGAGAGCCCTGGTTTTCAGCGCACATGAGAATGCAATGGATTTAGTTCTGACATCAGTGAAGAGATGTCACTGCTGCCACAGCAGTGGCAACAGTGGCAGCGATGGGGTAGATGAACTCACCAGCAAGATAGTATGGCAATGAGGCCAAAACCAGAACGTTTTCCAGAGGAACTCTCTTTCTCTAGGCTGGCAATGAGAGGCCGCCCATACTTAGGGTGGGCCATCCTCTTCAAAGAGCATGATCAGAAAAGTCCTTGCAGGCTGTCTAGCAGTGTGTCTCTTAGCTGACTACCATGGCTACACATGCGTACGTATATGTGTGTATATATGTGTGTGTACATCTACGTGTATGCATATATTGTGTACATGTATATATGTAAAAGTGTATACATAAATGTGTATGTAAATATGTATTGTGCATGTATGTGCATGTAAATGTGTATTACACATCTCTGCATATGTATGTGTGCAAATATACAACTATGAGTATGTACATAAATGTGTATATGTACATCCATGTGTATATATGTGTGCACATCTATGTGCCTGTATATGTGTATATGTACATGTATGTGCATACAAATGTTTATTCATATGTATATGTGTGCATGTGTACATGTATATGCATGTGATTGTGTATGTGTGTATACATATGCATATGTGCATTTGCATGTATAAATATGCATGTGTATGTGTGTGTGTGTGTGTGTGTGTGTGTGTGTGTGTGTGTGTACATTTATGAGCCATGGGTTAAAGCCTTGGTTGCTCTACCACAAATGACTTTGGAGTTAATAGGATGCTTCCTCTCCCAGGGCCAGCAGTAACAAGCAACCACTGTGTACAGAGCGTGGGAGAAAGCTCCAGCTTTTCAGAACAACTCTGAGCAAAGGCATCAGCGGTGGGCCCTATGTAGATGACCACATAAGGTCTGGTCCAATCCAGCCATATGGTTAGAAACAAGTTGTTATTAATAATATCTGGACAGCTCAGTGCAGATCACACTGTCAGGCTCTAGGTAAGGGAGGCACCTTGTGGGGAAAAGCAGATTATGTGGGAAGAGTCTAGAAGTTATAAATACCAAGACTTTATCAGACATCGCCCTCCCCACATTAGTTCTTAGACTTTTCCCAGTCCTAGTCACGGAGACTCCCTTGTTTGCTGGCTTGTTAGCTTGATATAGGGTCTCATGTGGTCCTGACTGGCCTCAAGCTGTAGCTGGGGCTGGCCTTGAACTCCCAACGGTCAGGTTACAAGCACGCACCACCACACCCAGTTCCTCATGCGGGTGTTTGTTATCAGTCAGAGCAGGCGATGGCCAGGGGAAGAGACCGTCAGAGGAGTGGGCCAGAGCACTTGTGAAACTCTTTCAACACACCAGCATGCTCTGCAAACAGGAAACTTTCAGCAAGCAGCATGCTCGCTGCCTGTGGGTGCAGCTAGGCTACTCAAAAGCACCTCCCACATCAGACTTGCTGTGCCCCATTTTCCACCCTTGAAACAGGGGCCAGGAAAGTGAAGCCCAGAGGTTACTGTGTGACAAAAGTCATATAGGTCCTGCTGGGGTGGTTTCTGAAGGAGCGACCAGAAAGAGAACAAAATGCATCCACTCTGCTGAGAAATGCAACAGGGTCTACAGAACTTCTCTGGTGTGGTGGCCACCTCAAGGGCAGGCCACCGAGAGGGGCTGCTTCGGACAAAACCTCCCTGAGGAATCAGAAGTCAGTGTGGCCAACATTTAAAAACAAACAGATTCAATAAATAGCACCAGAGAAAAACAAACTAAGAGGTTTCTTGGAACAACTTCTCTTCTGGGACCAAATTTTCCCTCCTCCTGTATCCTTCATCCAAAGGGAATATACATACATACATGCATACATATATACATACATACATAAATGTATGTATGTAAAAGAGGAAGATGATGAAGTCAGGCAGATGGCTCTGTGGGTAAAGGTTTGTCATACAAGCGTGGGGTTCTGAATTCAATCCCCAATACCCACACAAAACTAGGCACGCCTATAGTCCCAGCACTGGGGAAGTAGAGACAAGGAAATCCCTGGTCCAGCTGAATCAATGGACTTAGACAGAGACACCAAGCAAAGAGCAGGTTGCTGTAAGCAGCCAGGCCCGTCCACTTTCAAAATGTGCGCCTAGATGTATGGCCAGCAAAGAAGACAGGAGTTCCCTAATTCCATTTCCACTCACTGTCCCCAAGAAGTCCGTTAGTCCCTAAAAGATTTCCTTCCCCATACACAGTTCACATTTGACAGAGAGACCCTGTTAGAGGGAAGGATCGCAACATTGTATCAATCTTGAAAAACACTGCTTTGGAATATTTCACACTAGGCTGACTTTTACCCAGCAAACCTTCCCCTGATGCAGCAATTGAAACTGACCACAGACAGCATCAGTGGGAGTCCCAGTTCAGTCTCGGTTGTGATAGGCAATTGTGGCCAAACAAAGCTTAGGAAGGAAAGGGTTTATTTCAGTTTACAGTTTCTAATTCGTCGTTAAGAGAAGTCGAGGCAGGAGCCTAGGAGCCAGAACTGTAGCAGGGACCTGCTTGCTGGCTTGCTCACTATGGCTCCCTCATCCACCTTTCTTATATAAGCCAGAATCACCTGCCCAGGCATGGCATCGCCCATGGTAGGCTAAGCCTTTCTGTATTAATACTTAATTAAGGAAATGCCCCCAGGGCATGTCCAAAGACCCACCTGATGGAGGCAATTTCCAGATGCTAGATTGTATCAAGTAGACAAAATCGGCCAGGATAGTGGGGGAGCATTCAGGCACATCCGACATCACTTGGACACAACCCTGGCACTCACTCCCAGATTATTACAGGAAATAGCCATTGTTGACTACGTAGTAACTATAGCTCCCTATAGACACCATTTCTCACATGCTTGTGTCCCTCGTGGCTCAATTATGGTCTAATATTCACTTAGGAGATGAGTGGTTCCCTGGGTTATCGCAAATGAAAGTCACCTCGTTCTATCTGCAGCTGGCAAAGCCCCCTGTTTAGTAAACATTAATAACTGAATTTTAAGCTGTTTTCTGTGAACCCTCAAGAAGGAGGGCGGCTGGAACTACTTCAGGAACTAAACGGCTTCCAGGCATGTTTCCTCCATGTCCCATTCATGCTCTATGGCGTGGAGGAGCTTCAAGAGGGAGGAAGGGAGGCGAGGACCACCACACAGAAGGACTGTTTCCTAACTCCAGAGTCTGCTGTGCTCTGTGTGTGCCCCTAGGGCTCATGTGTTAGTGACCTAACCTTCAATGTCACGGGCCGGTTGGATGTGAGAGGTCGGTTGGGATCTCCAAAAAAATGATTAGGTGAAAGGTCTCTGCCCCAGTAAGCAACAGAATGCAAGTAAACCAGTTTGTTAGTGTGTGAGTAGGACCCTAACAGAACAGCAATGTGGACTCCCTCCTGTCCCCCCACCATCTGCCCAGGCACGAGCAAACCTCAGCAGATGTGGTCCCTCTCTTGGACTTCACAGCCTCCAGGATGGCAATTCAAATACACTGCTGTGTGTGAGAAGTGTCCCGTTCTCCAGGCTACTTTTAGAGCAGCATAGAATCCAAGTGAACAAAAGCTCGGAGGCAAGAAAAGCCCAGTAGAACCTGAGCTCAGCAGACTGCTACAGACCCAGCCCCCTCCCAGGACTCTGAGGACGTGGTTTCACTGGACCAGATGGCCCTGCCTGCCTCCCTCCCTCAGCTTCCTGCGGCCTCCTCAGTCGCTTTTCCATATTCCAACATAGCATCAGCACCCCTGCCCACCTACCTGTTCATGGTTCCCCTGTGCCATGACACAGGACTCTTTGCACAATGCTATGTTCCTAAACTGTACACATCTTGAGGGCAGATGCCCAGCCTATACTTCTGGAAGCTGCCAGCAGCTTGCAAGGAACCAGGCACAAAATAAGCTCTCGACAGAGCCATGAGGAATGAATGGATGTGTGAATGAATGAATGAGGGAGCAAATGGACAGACAGAGTCCCGTATTCATTCCGATATTAATTCCTTCCTCTTTGTGAAGCCTGCCCAGCTTTCAAATAACCAGTCAATTCTATCTCTGAGTGTGTAACCTCGGTGAGTGTGGGCATCACTGCCAGATACCAGCATCACCCAGAGGCTGCCAAGTGCTTCCGTTCTCCCAAAGCGGCAGGTTCGTCCCTGAATGAATGAGAAAGCATTTGGTTCTGGGATGCCATGGACAAGCTCTCTGTCACAGAGTAGCACACGGAAGTGCATCCTGTGTTCTCAACCAGCACCTTGTCTTTCAGCCATCTACCTGGACTCTCTATGGCCGTGTTTCCTACGGGATCTACTGGTTTGTGACACTACATTTGTCTTCTGAAAGGAAAATTCTTAATTTTGTCAATAACAAGGGCAGAAGAGATCACTGGTGTTGCTGTTGTTCTTGGGGTGAGCACTCATCACAACCCTTTGAGATACTGCATGAATTTTTAGCCACTCCAAATGAGTGAGGCAGGAACACCCAAGGAAGCACTCTCTTCTTCTTCTTCTTCTTCTTCTTCTTCTTCTTCTTCTTCTTCTTCTTCTTCTTCTTCTTCTTCTTCTTCTTCTTCTTCTTCCTTCTTCTTCCTCCTCCTTCTCCCTCCTCCTCCTCCTCTTCCTCTTCCTCCTCCTCCTCCTCCTCCTCCTCCTTCTTCTTCTTCTCTCTCTCTCTCTCTCTCTCTCTCTCTCTCTCTCTCTCCCCCTCTGTTTTCCCTTGTCTGACCCACTTCATTGGCTGGACCTCCTTCTTCTCTGACATTAGTTTCTTTATTGTTACTCTCACTGATCCATCCGTACACCAATCTGAAAATCTTAGTTTATTGATGGATGAGTCGACTTTTAACCTCTACAGCTTCCTGTGCCATTTCATTTCCAAGGTTTGGTCCGCTTCTTAATCTTGGATAAATCCTAACTTCCCATATTCTGACTCAAGTTGGTTCTGATCTATGTGACAAGAAAACATGTTCTTGAAAACTCACCAGCATGCACTCTGGATTTGATGAGCAGGAAGTGGGACCAGGCTCTGTCCATGACATGTGGTGCTGCCGCCACCAAGAGATGACCGGTCTCACTCTCCCACCACCTGCGCCCCTCCCCAGAGCCCCAAAAACAAAAAAGACCTGAATGCCAACTGAAACGAAGAGGCTCTGATGGCCACCAAGTGTCCGTGGTGACCACTGTCTCTCTAACAGGCCCTTGATCAAATCCAAATCCTGGACTCACTTTAGAGATGAGAAAGCTGAGCAGGGAAATGGGGAAAGACAAGGTACCTGTGTATGGGAAGAGGCACTGGGTTCACGACATCAAACGTGACTTTGAATTCTGGATTTCCTAACTGCTGGCCATGGGACTTGGGAGAGGGAGTGCCAACCAACAACAGTCTCGGTTATTCAGATGTAAAAAAAGCAATAATAACAATAACAACAGCAAACATCTACCCCACAGGAATGTGTGTATGCAAAGATGAAGATCTCACGAAGAGTCCCCAGGGCCTAGCACACAACACACTATGTAGATAAGCTATATTATCTCTTCTTATCTAGCTATATCTTTAACCGATTATCAGTTCTGGGAAGTAGATACCACTCCTAAATCATTACCCATCCGAGAGGGGATTTATTGAGTGCTGGCGAATCCCTGTTGTTAAATTCATACTTGGACCCAACTTGCTGTCATCTCAAAGGGATTCTGATGAATGCAAGACATTGATGGGCAAAGATATGAACTTTTCATTTTCTTTTCGTACCAAGATTTCTGGGGTTGTTTTGAAACCTCCATACAGCTGCTTACTTCTTACAAAAACAATTGCAGTCAAACACAGGAAGGGGTTTGGAGACCAGCCTGGAGGATTGTCGTAATGCATATGTGACAGGGTGTACAAGAAAGCTATGGGACCAGAGACAGGCAAAGGCAGTGGGTTGCCAAGGTAACCATTGGCTGACAGTCAGGGTCTCTCCTAGGGCTTCACACTTAAACACTACACTATACCCGGCAAGACTGGTAACCTGTTGCCTGGGCAGCGTAGAGGTAGAGTGTGGCTACATACGCACACAGGTTCAAAACCCAGTTCTGCTTTAAAACAGGAGGCAGTTAGAGTCCAAGTGAAATCTTTCATTTGGAAAGGCTGGGAAATCCAAGTGCTCCCCTACATCCGTGTGGGAAAGTATTGCTGAAGCATCTACATGGAGAAGACATAGCAAGGCCACCCTCTTCCGACGGTCCCAACAATAAACTAAGATGCAATTGCACCAGTTTATTCTGGGGAACCAATGATATTATTAGGCTACTTATAGAGCAATGGACGAGGGGCTACAGGCAGGAGAAAAGATGGCCTTAAAGCAACCATACTGTAAAGTGTGACTATATAAAGTTATGACTATATAGGTGATTATGACTTTATACATTAAGACTGGATAGATGAAGCCCCATCCCCTACTCCTTTCCAAACTATGTACTATATACTCTATATACAGACTATATACTCTAGATCTTCCCAGAGACCAAGTGAAATCAGGGCAGAATTTCACACAATTAGTAGAGAGCGGTAGCTGGATACTGAGGTAAAGGTCCCATGGCCCTCGCTAGCCCCTCCTTCCAGGATGGAATGCTAACAAGGCCAGCTATGGTGATCATCTGCAGCAACTCCAACTGAACTCCAGAAGGGCGTGTCTTGGAGGATAGTCTTCTTCAACACAAAGAAACACAATGCAGGCGTCTTCCACATCAAAGGCATTTTCTGCAAAGTACCTGAGTGTGGGAGAAGGCATATAAAGTGTCACACAAAAAATACAGGTGTCGAGACAGCCATGTCTTACTCGGCAGAGGAGAGGCATCAATGCCAGACGGGTATGAAGTGAGCCAGGCATGAGCCAGGCAAGCTATGATAGACGCTTCTACAGTGTGGGCAGAAATCAGAGAGAGATGGCAAATTAAAGTCTGTTGACGAGCCCTACAAATGGGGCGGGAGCAATGAAGGGCTCTACCTAGCTACTGTGCTTATGAGAATCACAACAAGGACCAGCATGGTCCGATAATCCTAAAGGGAACCAGAGTAGCAAACAAACTTAGGCAGTAACCAACAGTTCTCTAATTAGGGCCACTCATGGAGAAGGAAATCTTGCGTGGTACTAGACATGTAGACAACCATCTGGGGCTAGCAAAGCATTGGATCCTGGAGAAGATCCTACAGTAGCCGCTTTACTAACCCAGCATAATCTCTGACTGCATCCTAATTATTTATTCTTGTGCCTGTTAAGTTGGAAGTGTAGCCCCCAGGCCTGGGAGTTGTATTGGTCTGGACTCCAAATCCCAGCATGCCAAGTCCTGACCACTCCCACGGGGTATCCCAAAGGAGAAACATGTGGTCTCGTCCCCCCACCCCCCACCCTCCACCCCCATCACACCCCCACCACACCCCCATGGTCGTGTTAGTGGCCTCCCAGTTCTCCCTCAGGGCCACCCTAGAGGGCAGTAATCCCATTAAACCTGGATATTTTTTAATTTGGCTTGTGATTTGACTTGATTGGGATTTTTACATCGGCAGAGAGCTCGCGCGTTAGGAAAAATTCCTAACAGTGCCCATCTCATCAAGAAATCTTCTCTTTGCAACAGACAGAAAACATCACGGAAAACTACAACCTATCAAAATTGTAAAGCAGTGGAGCCCAGTCTCACTGATACATCTACGAAACAACTTCCACACCTCAGGCTGAGGGACCATAGCGGGAGAGGGCTCAGAGTCAGAGAAACGGGGAGTTTACTGTAAAAATTACGTCTCCTAGAAAGGTCAGAAACCATACCCATGAAGTCTCACCAAAATGGCTGCCTAAACACAACCCAAACATGTTTGACACCAATAGGCGTGCTGGCACGGAAAGGAAAAACCTCAGGAGACCTCCAACTCGACACGAAGAACTACGGGCAACTAAGGAAGGCTGAGAGTAAGAGGAGCAGTTTCCCCAGGGAAGAGCGCACCAGTTGGTTATCTGATAACAAATGATCAGCCCTGAAATCAGGCACGGAATGAGTAACATTAAACGGACTGAGCAGACCGTGTGTGTGTGCATATGCATGTAACAGCAATTAAAGCAAAAGTGGCTGTGAATTTGAAAAGGAGTAAAGGGGGGTACATGTGATGATTTGGAGAAAGGAAGTGGAAAATGATGTGATTATATTGTACCTCAAAAATACTTTTAAAATACTTGAAAATTTTAAAAAGGAAGAGATCAAATAAAACTTCAAACTTGGGAAAGCAAAATGAGATGGCTCACCCCGTGAAAGCATTCACCTGGCCACCTGAGTTTGACTCCCGGAATCCCATAGAGGTGGCAGGAGAGAACTGACCCCACAAAGTTGTCCTCTGACTGCCACGCATGCACCATGGCATATATGCCCACACCGCACAACATTATTGCACACTCACAGGTCACTAACACTAACCTTCTTACATTCAAGTTTATTCAAAATCACACTTGGCAAATGTTGGTTCTTCAAATTTGGGGACATTTGGTGCGGGAGAATTGTCTGTATTCTGTCAATCATATTTTAATAAAACACTGATTGGCCAGGCAGGCAGTATAGGCGGGAAAGCCAGACAGGAAGTAGAGGTGGAGCAAAGAGACTGGGAGTTTTCTGGGACACAGGAAGCTCTCTCGCCACTCCTGTACAGACCACCGAAGAGGCAACATGTAAGCTGTCACACCGAGAAAGGTACTGAGCCCATTATGGCTAACATAGATGAGAATAATGGGTTAATATAAGTTACAAGAGTTAACAAGAAGCCTGACCTAATGAGCCAATCAGTTTATAACCTTATGGAGTCCTGTGTGTAATTTCTCTTTGGGATTTGCCGGCTGTTGGGGTACCGGACGGGACGGAAACCCCAACAAGCCAGCCCTTATGTTACAGACATTGAATAGGGGAAATGTTTATGAAAACCAGGTTTTCCCTCCCGAGAAGAGGAAAACTGCCAAAGGGTAGGTTCCCCGTGTGACCGTGACTCCCTGCACACACCGCTTCTGTCACCTTTGTGACCCCTTCTAAATATACCTTGTTGGCACCAGCTGCTGAGAAAACAGAGACTACGGAATTTGAAATTTTGATTGAAGAATACCAAGCCTGAAAAATGAAACAGCCCAATTACAACCTACACACGGGCTAGGGAGACAACTAGGGGGTAAGCCCTAGCTGGGCAAGCATGAAGAAGGGAGTTTGGCTATCCAGCACTCACATAAATGTTGAGTGTGTGATGACCCACCTGTCATTCCGGTCTCAGAAGGAGATCACCAGAGCAAGCTCACTAAGACTAGCCAGCAGGTAAGCTGGGTTTGATTGGGTGACCTTGCCTAAGGGAAAAGGTGGGGGAAATATGAAAGATGGGTTCCAACATCAACCTTGGGCTTCCACATGTATGTGCACACATGCACATACACACAACACACACACACACGTACTGACACACGCACATGCCAACACACATAAAGAGACACACACAAGTGAAAATAGGAGAAAACCATATACTTTCTGACACCAGAGTCCCCACCCATCTTCGGCTTGGCATCTTCTCGAATAAGTCCACTTCTAACTGCACAATTATTTCTGTTATTCACAATGCCCCACCTATGTCTGAGAAAACCTGAAACAGCCACACACACAAACACGCAGACACCAGCTGCCCAGAGAGAGCTTCCAGAGACAGTGAGGGTGCTGTGATTCTTACCAAGTCCAAGAAAGACACAAAGACCCAACCCCTATAGCAGGACCGTCTCCACCCACCAGACAGCTCAGGACTAGGAATGGTGATGCCAGCAAGATAAACTTAAGGAGGAACCCACACTATCAGTAATCAAGAAAAATGACGTTTTAAAAATAAAACATAATGCAAAAAAATCCAGGGGGAAGAAGCTATCGATTTCCATAGAGACTAATACAGACTGCTGTTGACTTCTTTGGTAACCCAGAGTTATGACCCAGGGTTTCAGTCAGTGTGGTTCCCATGGCCCTGTGGCCTTGGTGTGCATTCTAGATGTCTTTGCAGCCGGGACAGTGGTGACAGTGGACAGTGCTGGACTTCATAGCTACTTTATTACAGAATTTCTGTTCTTTTTCTCCATTTTGAGCCAAACTATGAGGAGCATTTCAACAAGCACACATGAAGTATGTGGTTCTTCCTTTGATCTTGGACCCCAGCATGCAGCTCCAACCTCTACCTGGTATCACTTTGCTATTGTAGAAAGGAGACCTGAAGCTGAACTCGGAGAACATTAGAGGGCATTAGCAAATTCACTGCTTCCTGTGGGTTAACCCCTTCCACACTTCCTCGGCAAGTTGCTCTTAGCTACAGCACACTTTGCAAACGGGAGACACTGTGAGTTTTAAATGACCTTAACAATGTCGAAATGACCTTGTGACCCGCATGTAGCAGTGAACTGCCCAGATGTGAAAGTGAAACTTGTTCTTTATTAACGGGGACACTGATAATTACTTTGACAACAGTAGCGAGAGGCTGGAAGGCTAGAGGCCCAGTACAGGAGGATGTAACCAGACTAGAGTCATTTGCATTTAAAAGGTTGCAAGAGCAATTAGCACCTCATTAATATGACATGAATGCAAATTTACAGAGCTCCCTTACAGTGACCTCTGACTCTTTCTGCCCAGCCAAGGAATGCAGTCTATTAGGAAACACCACTAGGAGATGCCCATGCAGCCAGAGAGGGAGCAGTTCCCCTGCCCAGCCTGTTTGAAGAGGTCCAGATAAGAGACTTCACTCAGGGCTTGAGTGGCCACTTAACAGAGACCCGGGCCGCCCTGTCAGATGAAAGAGGCTGTGGGAACTCCACAGCCACTGTAGGCTGTGTTCAGTGAGGAGCTTGGCTGTCTGCTGTGCGTGACAGGAAGGTGACAGAATGCAGCCGCACCGAGGTGGCCCTCAGAAGAGCTGCTTCCATGCTGAGAAGGCAGAGGCGGGCAGGGGACTGCACAGTTGAGGGTTTTTTTTTTCCATCAAAACCCCACAGCTGATGATCAAAGCAATCACCTTAAATAATTGATTTCCTTACATCAATACTGAAAAAGGGGGAGAAAGGAAGAAAGAAACCCCTTCTGAGGGTTATGAATAGTGGGAGATATAATCACACCACCAGACATGAGAGGTGCTTTGGAGAGATGAGGTCTGAATGCCCGAGGGTGTGATTAGGGCATCTTACATCAAAGGACTGTGTCCTAAAATAACTCGCCCTGAAATACATTGTAAATAGCACCACAGATTAGACTATCCCCCAACCCTAAGAACATCTTTCTTCCCCTCACATTTATTACTAGCCTGACAAGTCAGGAGGGGAAGAGAAGAAAATATCAGAAGGAAAAGGGGATAATTGGAGACAATTACTTCCTGTAGGTACAATGTCCACTGCTACTGCAACCTCTGAAACCAACACACACACACACACACACACACACACACACACACAAATACACTCACAAACATAAGCTAACACACACACAATACATGCACAAACACATATACAAACACACAAATATGTTTGCAAACCAACACACAAATACTTTCATGCATATTTAAGAATCTACCAAATATAATAAAAATCACACAAGCATGCAGAGAACTACATACAAAATATGCTCACATGTATACAAGTTCACAAACACATACTCTCACATGCAAACACATACCAACATACAAACACACAGAACCTGTGCCAGGATATGCCTCCACCCACAGTGATGGGTAT